ATACCCGGCCGACAACATGTTATTTTTTAGGTCAAGTAACACTTGGTAATTGTGGTCTTGAACTGTGTTAATATATTGAGACATCTTAGGGTTTATACCACTACTTTGACATTGAACTGTCTTGTACAGAAACCAGGGATATTTTGTAATGTTGTCCTGATTCTGGGCATTTTATCTCTATGCCCTTCTTCCACATTTGGGAGTACCAAAGGCCTCGAAAGCTTCCACCTATGGTTTTGGGAGTAGATGGGTGGATTTCAGCCATTAGCACAGTCACTCACCTGTTCAGGTTTATAGGTCATCATTTCTAAATTGGGTATAACTTTAAATTTACAGAGTACTATGAGAGTGGGTAGGAAGCAAAAGACAAAATAAAATTTCCCAATGTATTATTAAATATGCTGTGAAACATGTAAAGAGGTATGAGAAAAAATTGTAAAAGTGCTTGTTTGCACATGCTAAGCTCACACCCCACTGACAAGGTAGTAGATCACCAGCCTCAGTCCATAATTTTTAAGTAAAGGCCATGGTTGTAGTTTTGTTAACATCAGGCTTCTAAGTTTTTTCCACAGTTTCTCATTAGCAGGTCTTGCTCAGGTGTCCCCTTGCCTTTTATTTGGCATGCTTCTACTCACATATTTTCTCTTTCTCCTCTTCCTAGATAGTGTTAGGTGCCCTTTCTGTCATTATTCCTATAGTGCCCCAGAGACAACTATCACCACACTTAAAAGATAATGACCTATTTTCCTAACTGTTCCTGTTACTAGTCTGGTTTTTTTCAGAGCTAAGGGTAGCCAACATACATGGTGCAGTATCTGGGCTTTATAATAGGCCTTCTTAAATATTTGTTTTGATATGGGAGGTAAGGTTGAATACAGGAAGAGGTTAAAGTTGACATCTAGCCAGGCTCGATGTCATATGCCTTTAATCCCAGCACTCTGGGAGACTGAAGCAGGAGGACTGCCAGTTAGAGTCTAGCCTGTACTGTCTTGTCACTGGCTAGTGGGGGTCCTTGCTTTAATAGAAATGGAAATTAAAAATGAAAGTACAAATATACAGAAAGAAAAACGAATTGAAAAGTTAAAGGGAAAATGGAAAAGGATTGCATTTTAGGTAGCTGGAGGGAGCACACACTTATACAGGGTTTCAGACTGGCCCACCTGCAAAGGTGAGGCCAGCTTTTAAGGATTAACTGTTTGCTGGGGTCTAGGTGATCATTATTTCAGTCCTGGTGTCATAGCTCTGGGGTGAATTTTTTTGACTAAGGGATAGTTTCCTTTCCAGGAAAGGATTATTTGTCTGTGGTGGTCTCAATCTGATGGGGCTCCACCATCCTTGGAATCCAGGTGATCATAGGTTCAGGACAATGGCTTGGATACTTCTAGGCAAAGTTGAATGTCCCTGGAAATTCCACACCCTGGTGTCCTCAGTCTTGAAGAGGGTGAGATTGTATACATTTTAAGATAACAAAGGATACAAAATTATCAAGCTTTGTTCTTAGTTACCTAAAGGGAATCTGTATCCATAGCAAAAATGGTCCATAAGTGTCCCAAAAGAAAACACAAATCGTGTTTTTATTGAGTAGGAGGTAAGGGCCCACCCATGATTTTGCCTGTTTCCATCTCTATGGCGGTCCCTTGCTATGGTCATGACTACATCACTCTCACAAAGTGGATGGTGGTAGAGATGTAGCTCACTGCGTAGGCCTTGGGGTTTTATCCAAACTGGAAAAAAAAAAGATTCTAATTGTAACTTTTTGTGAAATGATTTTGAGCAAGTGGCTCAAGCTTCTTGAGCTTGTTTCCTTATGGATAAAATGAAAGTAGCCCACTTGGAGATCTTATTAGAATGCAGATTTTTGGCTCAATTATTCTATGGTATGTTCTGATATTTTGCATTTTTAACAAGCTCCATGAACTACAGAGGACTAGTTAACATGTAATGGCCTTCCAGCTTTTACCTTCTGTGATTATAATCCTTGTTTTAAATTCCAAACAAAATAATGTCATAACTATTAGACATCTCTCCAGTTTATCAGAATGCTGAAAACTGATCATTGTGTACCTTATGAAGTTTTCAATATATGATAATGTTCCTGTAGTTGAATATAATCTTATTGCTCCTAAAATTTTGACTTTGACAAGTTAAAAATATCAGACAAATGTCTGGGAAAGCATTTGAGTTAGCACTTGCTTGTCATCTGAAATGTCACAATGCTTATTGGAGAACATTTGCAATAAGTAAAGTTACTCTTGAAGGCTTTATGCTAATGTGGAGCTGAGATAGACAGACATGTGATCTCATGAGTATAAATATAAATACAGGCAAGCTGTTGATGAGTTAATCATCAGAGGAGTTCCCAGTCATTCCCTTCAATTCTCCAGAAGGTAAGAATCAAATCTTTGTAAAAAGCATTAGTGATATATTATTGAATATGGAGTGCTGGGGTGGGTCTTGTTTGAAAATGTTGCTACTGTTTTCTTTGGACTTTTAGATCCTCAGGAAATCATGATACTTGATTTGAGATCCTGTGTCCAAATGTCTAAAAGTAGTTGCACTAATTTTTACATGTAACTTACAGAATAAATTTTATCTCTTTACTTTCAGCTGCACCAAGAATATTAATCAGGCTTCAATATCCAAATAAGTTATATCTATCCCTGTGATGGACTCTGATCGTTTATAAATGTTTATTACTGGCCAAGAGCTCTCAATTTCTGCTCTTCTATCTACAATATATGAATCCTACTCTGTTTTAACTTCAGTATTTTGTGTCTGAGAAAACTGAAATCTGTACATCGGAAATTGAGACCCTGACAAAAGTACAGCATGTAGCCTATAGTTGAGGTGGTTATGTTTTTAACCTCTCATAGGGGAAGACAGTTTATACTGCCAAAGTGACCTTTGTTTCATCTTCCCACAACAGGTCTGGATTAAACAGTTTTAGTTTAATCATGAGTAGACCTTTGTTCCCTTAAATCTGTGGTGGCGAACTTAACGTACGCGTGCCACAGCCAGCTGTTTGTTATCATTGAAAGCTCTAAAAGGTTCGCCATCACTCCCCTAAACCAAACCAGCTGAGGAAAGCACAGTAGAGGGAACTGGGTATAAATGGTGTTAAAAGCAAATAGCCTTTGGAATCCTTCACCAGAACCCTGGCCCCTGTTCTCCCTCAAGTAGAGCCTTGCTGAGGGGTGGTGGGTGTTAGGAATTTTCTGTGGTGCACACTGAGCTTCTTATTGCCACCTTTTTATCCTGCCCTTCTTATTGGGGGTGAATTTATGGCTTATTTAATATGTTGCTAGTTTGGAACTCACTTTTTAAAGTAATAATAATTTATGTTGAACTCAAATTAAGATTTTTGAAACAAACTATTTACGGAAGGCACTTGCTGTGTTCTGAATAGATTGTCCTTTGGGAATGTTAACTAGCACTGTTATATCTGAGGTTCCTTGTGCCCCTCTTTGGAGTCTTAAATAGACTTGTTCCCTCCACTGGTTTATCTTTGAATGTGGCTATCCATCTTTTAGGACAGTCAATTCCACTTTTTTGGGGGGTGGGTAGTAGTGGGGATTGAATCAAGAACCTTCTCACTGAGCCATGTCCCCAGCCTTCAGAGTCTCTAAATTACTATTGCCCAGGTTGGGTTCAAACTTGTATTCTTCCTCCTCAGCCTCCCAGAGTGCACCATACCTGGCCAAATCCACTTCTTTTGTTTTCTGGGTAAGAAGCCAGTGTGCTAGCACGGGTTCACTCATCCTGTAGCATGTGGTTTCAGACATGCTTTTGGCTTTACTGGATTGGTACATGAACCTGCCAACAATAACATGTTCAGATTTTTGTCTCTTAAGCAAAAATAACATCAAAGCTGGGCACGGCAGCACATATCTATAATCCCAGCAGTTTGGGAGGCTGAAGTGGGAGGATTGTGATTTCAAGGCTAGCTTGGGCAATATAGTGAGACTGCATCTCTAAATAAATAAATAACCTACTCTCAAAAAAGTTAACATGGAAAATCACTTCACTGCATTAATATATAGTACCAGCTAATACCATTTTTGTGTGCTGCTAGTCCTTTCCTATCATTGTGTCTCCAGCGATCCTAGAGAAGAAAAGAGAATTATCAGAGGAAGCACTTTGTAAGAGAATTTATATAACATCTCTGTTACAATTGCCACACTGTTCATGCCCTGGCATTCAACTCTGCAGCAGATTATAAAAATTACTGGAGTCTTTCCAATTTTTTCTTTGTTTCATGTGGTTGCCTTTGTTGCTTTCATAGGACAGCTCATGCCTCTTACTTTGTGTTAAGGTTTCACAAAATTGTTCCTTATTGCTGGGGATTTAGCTCAGTGGTGGTGTGCCTGCCTTGAAAGCTCAAGGTCCTGAGTTCGATCCCCAGTAAGGGGGGGGGGTATTGTTCCTTATTGAGGATTATTCCCTGTGCTCTTATGTTCTCTTGAATGTGTATCAGACCCATGAGTTCCATATCTGCCATATCCTTGAACATCATCAGGTTGAGCAATGTTTTGGCTGACCTAGTAATAATTCTTTTACAACTTCTCACCTTACTGTAGCAGATACCTTTGAAATATGTATGAAAGTAGTCATTGGTAATTGAAGACTATTCTAGGTCAGTGCACTCACCAACTCATGGCCCAATCCACTTTGTGTCAAATCCCAATCCATGTGCTCTTCTAGATGTAAATATGGCTCTGTGAAAATTGTTATTGTCAGCATTTCTCCAAAAGAATGAGAGGTAAGATGGAAGAGAAGAATGACTAGGTCCTAAAGATAGGTTATAAAAGGTTTCCTCCAGGGTGAAGGATGTAGTTCAGTAGTAAAGGGCATGCTTAGCATGCCTGAGGCCCTGGGTTCAACCTCCACAAAAACAGTGTCCTCCAACTAGTTTTTAAATATGATGATGTATTGTATGAATTTGCTTAAAGTTATTTTAAAAAAATAGCCCAAAACTCAACAATTAATCTTTTTCCTTGCAGCTTTCAAAAAAAGACTTACATCAAAATGAATAATCCAGCTGTGAAGAGAATAGGAAATCACATTATCAAATCTCCTGAAGACAAGCGGGAATACCGTGGACTAGAGCTGGTGAATGGTATCAAAGTACTTCTCATCAGTGATCCCACCACGGATAAGTCATCAGCAGCACTTGATGTACACATAGGTACAATTTAAAATTATAAATCAAACTTTGTTCTGTTTTATTGAGCTAATATTTATATTTATTAGAACTTTCTATATGAGTGTGATTAAAGACCCAGTAGTGATCTGTTCTTTGATAAAAAAACATTTCATTGATTTTTAAATATCTTATTTTGTAATGGGAAGCATTATGCATTTATTGGTAAACTACAATCATATAAATCACAATAATCTTATATTTACCAAAAGTATCTTTTTAGGTTCCCACTTAAGGTGACCTAGCAGCAAGGAAATTTATTCCCGTCTTTATAGTAGTGGTTCTGTTTTTAAATTTTGGTATATTTGATGTCATATTTGCAGATCCTTGTGTGTACATTCCTTCTGCATTTATTGTTACTTAAATTAGATTGCTTTTTACTTGTGTGTATACTTGGCAAGACAGTTTATTTTTTCATAGCTTGCTTTTGTGGGGGCAGTATTGGGGACTGAACTCATGTCTTGGGTATGCAGGGCATTACACTGAGCTATATCTCCAGTCTTTTAACATTATTGTGAGACAAGGTCTTGCTGAGTTGCCCAGGCTGGCCTCAATCTTGTGATCCTTCTTCCCCAGCTTCCTGAGTAGCTAGAATTAAGGCATGGATCGCTAGTAGGCATGCCTGGCTAGTAGGTTTTTTGTTATTTTTTTTTTTAACTCCATAACATTTTAGAATTGAGAAAATAAGGTAATACTGAACTAATAATGGTTGCCAACATAATGCAAAGTGTTTTGCAAATACTATTTTGCACTTATCTTTGAGTAATAAGTAATAAAGATAAGTAATATATTTAAGTAATATATATATAAGTAATATATAAGTAAAGGATAAGTAATATAAGTAAAGATAAGTAATATATATAAGTAAGTAAGGGAAGATAGGTAAGTATTGTGCTTAAAGTCTCACAGCTACAGAGCTGCTAATCTCCAAGCCCATCCTCTTAGTGCTATGTTGTATGGTCGCTTACAATAAAATAAAACCCATAACAAAAAGTTTTAGATCTTATAAAACAGTGAATTCACCCCGAGTTCGATCCCTGGTACCAAAAAAACCGAAACAAAACAAAATAAAAAACAGTGAATTCAGCTTTTTATTTCCTTCCTCTGTGAGGATACTATTTTCCAGAGAGGTTAAGTAATCTCCTAGTGTACCAACTCAGTAATGTCAACAGTAGGGGCTAGAATCCAGATCTTCTGACCACTCATTTACCTTCTAAATAATATAATTTTAGAGCAGTTTAACTTTCTCTAATTATGTGGTCATAGTTGTCATACTAACAAGAATTCTAATTTTCTGTAATTACTAGCTTTTGACATAAAAAATAATTTATTATATATGTGTTTTCTCTTTCAGGTTCATTGTCAGATCCTCCAAATATTGCTGGCTTAAGTCACTTTTGTGAACATATGCTTTTTTTGGGAACAAAGAAATACCCTAAAGAAAATGAGTACAGCCAGTTTCTTAGTGAGCATGCTGGAAGTTCAAATGCCTTCACTAGTGGAGAGCACACCAATTACTATTTTGATGTTTCTCATGAACACCTAGAAGGTGCCCTAGACAGGTAATGCTGAATATATTATAAATTATCCAACTTTGTGCACTTAATCACATTAATAGAAATAATCATAGTTATTTTTACAAAGACGGCTTCATTGCTCTATAGCTTAACAAAATACATTTTAGCCAGTTTTCCCCCCTTATTTTATAAAAAAGAAAGAATAATAAGAAATGTTGTATATTCTGCTTTCTGATAAAGAAATAAATGGCGTGACTTTAAACCAGCCTTCAGGCCCACAAAATATTATATTGATTTATAAAATTCTCACTGGCCCTTTCCATTCTAATTGGCATTGTAGCTAATGTAAACAATAAAGAATAGTGATTAGTGTTGTGGATCACTTTTCAAACATACTTCCTCTCCTCACTTAAGGAATAATGTTTTGACCTACTGTTTGAAACTTGAAGGTATTTTAAAAGTATTTTCTGTAGAAAGCTCCATTAGGCCAGTTTAACTTCTTGGTCAATTTTCTGTACAGCCAACAATTTCCTTTTATCTTTTTTTGTGTTACTGGGGATTAAACGCAGGAGTTCATGAATGCTAGGCAAGTGCTCTACTACTGAGCTCCACCCCCAGCCCTTTTCGTTTTTTATTTTAAGACAGCTTTTTGCTAATTGGCCAGGCTGGCCATGAACTTGGAATCCTCCTACTTCAGTGTCTTAAGTAGCGAGGATTATAGGCACGTGTCACCGTGCCTGGCTACAGCCAGTGATTTCTAATTTTTTGTTGTGTTAGTGATTTGATTTATTATGAAAAGGATAATTTCTCTCTGGTGAGTTTTTATAGTTTTATAGATTTCTGTATTAAGGTGTAGTTTTGCAGCATTTGAAGTTTGACTTTTAGTTTTTTGAATGGTAAGTAAGATTTTACATTTATTAAAGGTAGGAAAAGAAAACTGTGTAGAGTGAGTGTGGTCCAAGTAAAAGCAGGAAAACAAGTACACTCTTCAGGATGAGAACAGGTTACTATAGAGAACACAGTAGCCTTAAGTTTGACACTGTAATTTTAGTCATTGCCAGCTTTATTTGCTTATTCATATTAATGTCATTATATTTAAAAAATGAATAGTTTTCATTTATTCTTTTTTTTTTCCTGTACTAGAGATTGTACCCAGGGCCTAATGCATATTAAACAACAAGCTATCCCTTAGCTACATCCCCAGGCTTTGCATTTATATTTTACCACAAAGAATATTAACAGGAAAAGGCATGGGTTTGTGATATATGACTGGATCAAAGTAGCCTGTTTCCTACTTACTCTATATTGTGTTTCAGTCTTTAGGCTGCATCTTTGAGGTGTAGTCATCTCCTGTAGGTATTTCCAAAGATTTCCATTAAGGTGTTCCATGGGAGCATACACTAAATTTCATTTTCTGTTTTGCAAATACTGGAGCAAATTTTATATATAACAAATCTCTGTGTGTTGGAGTAGGTCTGCTGTATAGCTCAGAGTAAAAATTCACTTGTGTAAGAGCATCTTTTAAAAAAACTTGATTATTCCATGTCATAAACACGATTATTTCCACCTATGCAGCTTTGGTCTGTAGCTGTTAAGTATTTTTCCTAGCCTTGATGTATTCAAGTAGGTAAAAGAGGTTACATGTCTATCTCTTTTCATACATCTTTGATTATAAACCCAGGTAGATGGAGTTTCCCTTTGGATTGGCATGTGTAAAGTACTTAGCACAGTATCGTATTCATTATGCACTTAAAATAAATGTTGAGTAATGACAATAGCCTCTTTGACAGCTAGACTGAGTTATGGTAACTGAGACATTTATAGAGCCAACATTCTTTTAGGTCCACTGAACAATAGTCCTGTTCAGAACTCCTGCTATTGGCTTCATCTGAATTCTGGATCTTGTTCCTATATGATAGGAGCTAATGTTTCTTGAGAAGAATTGCTACATGAAACCATGACCCAAATTGCTAATGTAGAACTAATTTATTAACTAAGGGTATTTTAGTTAAACCTTCTTATTGTTTAAGAATAGCCTCAACAAAAGTATAGTGATTACTTTTGTTGGAATTGCATATTATGCTATTTATTTAATCACTGCTTATTAAAAATGCATAGATATTGTTTGTATCTTAATGTTTCATAATCATAGCTAGGTCAAAGTACTATGTCATAGCTCGAGTGTTTCAGTTTAGTTTGTTTGAATTTCTCCAAGGGGGACAAAAAAACAAAACAAACACACACAAAAAAACCCCGGCATGATAGTCCATGCCTGTAATCCCAGTATGGGAGGCTGAGAGTGGTGGAGGATCACAAGTTCAAGCCTAGCCTGGGCAATTTAGTGACACTATCTCAAAAAAAAAATTAAGAAACAACAACAACAACAACAAAAAAGGGCTGCGAGTGTGGCTTAGTGCAGAAGTCTTGGGTTCAGTCCCTAGCACTGCATAAAAAAGAAGACCAAAAAATTCAAATCATGTCTTTTTAAAAGTAGATCACTTAGCTGGGGATTTAGCTCAGTGGTGCCGCCGCCTGCCTTGAAAGTGCAGGGTCCCGAGTTTGATCCCTAGTACCAAAAAAAAAAAGTAGATCGCTTAATTTATGCCTCCTGAGGTGCCCAAGTCTTGGTGAAATTGCACCCAAAACTGTAAAGTTAATATTGAGTTAAGAGCTATTTTCTACTTTCCTTTTTTTTTTTCCTTCAGAGAATTAACTACATAAAACAAGGGTTTGTTGTTGTTGTTTTGAGACAAGATCTCACTATGTTGTGCAGACTGGCCTTAAACTCACTATGTAGTCTAGGCTGGCCTCGAACTCACAGTGATCCTTCTGCTTCAGCCTCCCGAATGCTGGGATCACAGGTGCATGCCACTATACGCGGCAAAACAAAGTTTTTAATAGACATTGAAAATCTTTTTTTGCTGGGAGGAGGTTACTGAGAATTAAACTCAGGGCTTTTGTAGTGAACGATATCCCCAGCCTTTTTTAATTTTCAGTTTTGAGACAGGGTCTCACTAAGTCACTAAGTTACCCAGGCTGGCTTTGAACTTGCAGTCCTCTTGTCTCAGTCTCCCAAAGTGCTAGGACTGCAGGGATGTGCCACTGATAATCTTAAATAGACTACTACTATCTCTATAAGTCTGCCTTGAACTTTTGGTGTTATTTATTTCTGTTTTCCACTACTTATTTAGCATCTCTGGAGCAGATCAGCTCCTCTGACTTCATATGTGTCCAATGTTACGTTTTTCTTCTGTTGTCTAGAACTTAGTTTATATTCTTTTTTCTTAGCAGCAAAAGTAGTGTTTTCTGATCTTATAGAATTCATATTTTCTATTTAATAGGATTCAAAACTATTTTTTAAAGACTGGTTTTTTTCAGGTAACAGTTTTCAAGCTGTTAATTATATTTCCTACCCTTAGGTTTGCACAGTTTTTCCTGTGCCCCTTGTTTGATGAGAGTTGCAAAGACAGAGAAGTGAATGCAGTGGATTCAGAACATGAAAAGAATGTGATGAATGATGCCTGGAGACTCTTTCAGTTGGAGAAAGCTACAGGGAATCCCAAACACCCTTTCAGCAAATTTGGAACAGGTTTGTCAACAGCGGCTTTCAAACATTAAGCCTCCTTGACCTCATTTAAACTCTTGGCCTCTTTGCACAGTATTGTATTTTACAGTTGAGGATAGAAGATTTCAGATTTTCTCATTCAAGTAGGGGTCTAAATGTTTAGAAGTTAGAAAAACAGTTAGAATTGTGGACAGATATTAACCAGCATTTCAAAAGGAGAAGATAATAGATTCTTTTATTCTGGAGTCTACCTTCTAAATGGGAGTGCTTTTTTAACGTTCATTTCAAGGCTTTTCTAATCCTCCTACCCAAATTGCTCATCCTCTACCCCTCCAGATGTGTAGCATCTGCTGTGGGGGGCAGCTACATGGGAGATAGGACACTAAGGCCTCTGCTCTTAGCAGGAAATAAGAGGGATGACAGAGAGTAGAATAAAATAAATATGGAGGTTCTTGATTTTATAATTGTACCCTTTTTCTTTATTCAATTTTTAGTTCGAAAGTACATGTTTAATTTACACAATAATTTCACAATAATTTCATAATAATTTACACAATAATTACACAATAATTACACAATAATAATTACACAATAATTTCAACAATACAAATGTATTTAAAGTATAAAACAAAAAAAATAAGATGTGTTATATACATGTGAATTAAGATGTGTTAACATGTACCAACTCCCCACGAGGAAGGTGATCATTGTGTACTACAAACATGTACTAATAGAAAGATAAAATAAATTTGCAAAAAATAAAGCAAAAAATAAAAGCAAAAATCCATTTTCACTTTTTCTCATCTTACTCTTGCCTATCCACTCACCAGAGGTAATCATTTTTTTTATACATTACCATGCTTTTAAAACATTTTATGTGTTATAAAATTACTTAAAAATGATAATAGATTATTTAATGCACTTACAAATATGCTTTTTTTAAAGGTTAATTTTGGGAGAAATTCAGCACTAAAAAGTCATTTTTTAAAAAGTTTGGATACAATTCTGATCCATCCAACAACAACCAGGGAAGTTACTTACTGTAGCTTTATTAAATGAGGAGGAAAAGATAAAACTAAAACTAGGAGAAGTTTTCAAAAATTGCAGGGAGAAACAGCGATACTATATTGTTATACTACATGCCACTGAATATCAACATCACTCCTAATATAAATACTGTGGTCCTTAACGTATAACACTAACTTTTTTTGAAGTTATTTTTAGCTAGGTGTGGAGACATACTCCTATAATCCCATCATCGCTCTGGGAGGCTGAAGCAGGAGGAAGATCTGAATTTCAAGCCCAGCCTGGATCACTTAGCAATTTAATATGATGCTGTCTCAAAATAACAAATTTAAAAGGTTGGAGATGTAGCTCAATGTGAAGGCCCTGGGTTGAATTTCCAGTACCACAAAACAAAGAAATAAGCAAAAGATATAAATATGGACCATGAAAGCATATTTGAATGCCCGATAAACATGAGAAAGATGCTGAAATCATTAGTAATCAGGGAAATACAAAGTGAAAAACACACCATTTCACCCTGAGTATGGGGGCATACCAGTTGTAATCCTAGCTTTCTGGGAGCCTGAAGCAGGAGGATCTCAAGTCCAAGCCCAGTCTAGACAACTTAGTGAGACCCTATCTCAAAATAAAAAGTAAAAAAAGGACTGAGGATGTAGCTCGGTAGGAAAGCCCCGGGTTCAATTCCCAGTATGGGGGGCAGGGGAGAAGCATTTCATCCTTTTAATACCTATCAAGTTGGCTTCAAAGTCAGACACAACCAGGTGTGTTGTTGAGAATATACAGAAAATCAGAAACTCATACTTTTTTGGGAAAATAAATTGGTTCAGCCACAATGATAATATGTAATAAATTGGTGTGCCTGTCTACTAACACAGGGACTCTACTTCTTGACATATATCCTAGAAATAAATAGCTGTAGCATTTGTGCACAGGGAACTCACAAGAATGGCATGAAGCATTTTTTGTACTAGTAAGAAATAGAAAATGGCCCATGAACAGTTGAATAAATTAGTATATTTTGGTCAATTCATACAATAGAGTATTCTGTAGCATTTAAAATGAGTGAGCTAGAACTCATATATATAGAGGACTAGGTAGAGGAAATATTCTGAGTAAGATGCAAGTTGCAGAGTATGTTTAGTGTGATAACTATATAAAATTTAGAAACAGGCAAAACAGTAGTACTACATATTGTTGAGGTCTGTATGGAATATAGTACACAAATATGGGAATGATTAAACACCAAATTCTGAGTGGTAGTCTCTCAGGAGAGAGGCAAGGGCTAGAATTTAGTTCAATCCCTATTTTATTATAATTAATTGATTTATTTATTTACATAGTACCGGGGATTGAACCTGGGGCTTTCACACTAAGCTACATCCCCAGCTCTTTTTTATATTCTTAATCTTGAGGCATAGTATCACTAAATTGTCTGGGCTAGGCTTGAACTTGTGATCTTCCTGCTTCAGCCTCCCAGAGTGCTGAGATTACAAGGCATGTACCACTACATCTGGGTCCTACTATTTTATTATTTGAGGGAAAAATAGATTTGAAATAAATATAGCATAATGTGAAGACTGAGTAAAATGGGTTGTGAGTACAGGGGTATTATATACTCCTGTATATTTAGGTATTTTAAAATATTTTAAAGTTTTAGCCGGGAATTTAGCTCAGTGGTTCCGCTGCCTGCCTCATAAACACAAGGTCCCGAGTTTGATCCCCAGTACCAAAAAAAAGAAGCTGAAAAATATTTTACAATTTTAAAATTGGAAAAGAAATGTAATATTTCTTGTACCTCTTTAACCAAAAGGGCAAGTAAAAGACAGAGGATGATACTCTTCAAGATAAATAGGAGATAGCTTTTGTGTTTTGTGTGAGAATTATTATTAGGTATTGCTTATACCATCCAGGAGTCTATGTCAAAAGAAACTTGTAAGCTGTGTTGCCCTAGTAAGTCTTGGGTTTTACAAACCTTTTTCTGACAAAATGGAACAAGCCCCCCAAAATGCTGTTCTTTCTCATGTCTCGAGGATTCACATGCTCTGAGTTCTTACATTTTTAAACTGATAGCTGGCAAGAAGTTTTCTGTTTTGAGTCAGCTACTTTCTTTGAAAGTTGTTTTCATAGATATTCTGGGTTAAATCTGTCTCCACTGAACCTGTCTGCATCTGTCATGGTGGTACATGCTTGTAATCCCAGCACTCAAGAGGCTGAGTTCAGGGTAGTCTGGGCTACATAGTGTGACCTGTCTCAAAAAGAAAAAGAAAATTCTGTCTCCATACAGATCTTCATGAATCCCTGTGTAACTTTCCTAGCCTCAAAGTTCAGCTTCTATTAGCATTTTCCCAGGTGATTTAAAGTTTCTCTCTGAGGTTGAGTAGTGTCAGCTATGAACCTCTGCTCTCCTGCTAGCTAATGAGAAACTAGACAAGTTTCTTAACTTCTCTCAGCCCATTTCTTCCCATATCCAGTTGTGAGACTTATGTGCAGTTGTGTATGTGAAGTGGTTGCCAAAACATCTGGCCATAATAATGCTCAATAAATGGTAGTAGCCTTCATGATGACAAACGAAAGCTGATTAATAGATGTGGGAAGGACATCAAGATTTTGAGAAGGTCCTTTCTGTGAAGGATGGGCAGCCAAGAGCTTCTCAGAGCTGGTACATTTGATAAAATAACTGTAGGTCTTATGTTATTAGAGAAATATCTTATTTTCTTTTTAAACTGATCTCATGGTATCCACATGCCTTTGTCCCGTCATTTATCATTCACATCATGTGGCTTTAGTTGTAGTTCTATAGTTTTGTTTTGTTTTCTTGGTACCACAGATCGTATTCTACTGAGCTGTATCCCCAGCTCTTTTTAGTTTTATTTTGAGACAGAATCTCACTAAGTTGCCTGAACTGGCCATGAATTTGTGATCCTCTTGTCTAAGCATACCAGAATACTGGAATTACAGGTGTGTGCCAAGTCCAGTTTAGTTCTGGTTGTTCTTCAGCAATGTCTTCCTCTAAATATAACTGCATAGACACTGTGGGAGCAACTGGCTTTAGTCAGCTGTAAAGGAAATAAAAGAAGGAAGTCAAAGGCTGGGCAGGGGAAACAAAACAGACACTCTTTTGTATGGAGGTAGAAGGAAAGGCAAACTGGGAGGATACATGGAAATGGAGGGTGGAGCTGTGTTTCTGCTATGAAGGACGTTTTTCTTACTTGTTATGTATTCTAGTACCCTTGTTGCAAGTGCCTTAAGATTATAAAGGGCCAAGGATTTAGCTCAGTGGTGCTGCCGCCTGCCTCGCAAGCATAAGGTCCCGATTTCCATCCCTGTACCGGAAAAAAATGCAAAGAAAAAAAGGGAGTATTTCTCTTTAGAAATTCCCTACTAGTCCAGAGTACTGTCTGCCATCTGTCTTTCTCTTTCCCCTTTTCCCCCATCTTCAAATAAATCATCATCTTTTACTTAAAAAAAAAAAAGAAAGAGGCCAGGGATTTATCTCAGTGGTTTTGCTGCCTGCTGCGCAAGCTCAAGGACAAGAGTTCGATCCCCAGCACCAAAAAAAAAAGAAAGAAAATGCAAAGAAGCATAACCAGTATCTTTGCTGAAAGGTGCTTAAAGTTTAGGTGAGGAGGCAAGGCAAATCCAGGGTTTCACTGCAATATAATTTTAGCTTTGATATTCGGGGATTGTCATCTCTTGAATACTTAGAATATTTAATTCACACAATAATGCTAGTAGGTAGATGTTTTTAATGTCCGTCTTATTCATGAGTAAACTAAGACTTAAGAATAATTGCACAGGATCAGTCAGTTGGAATGAGGACCTAGAGATTTAAAGAATCCATTCATTAATTTCATTCCATATGGGGGGTGGGGGTGGGGTCCACTACCAGCAAGCTACACCCTTTAATAGCCCTTTAAGTTTGTGATTCTTTTTTTTTTTTTTTTTTTTTGGTACTGGGGATCGAACTCGGGTCCTTCGGGTCCTTGTACTTGCAAGGC